AATGAAGTAATGCGACAAGGGGGAAAGTATAAAATAGTCTTGTAAGTTACTCCTAAAGATGACGTAGATCACGTCGAAACATGTACTTGTAGAGAGATATTTTAAAGTGGAAGCCCTACGGCTTCAATAAAAGTTTTTATTATGTAAATATAAAACGTTGTTTTTAATTATTTATTATAATTTTAAAAATGTTAAACACAAGTGCCAGTAGTGCATATTTAAAAATAATTATGTTAGATCTGTTCTTCTGTATTTTTTCTAAGTTTTGTAATCACTGTCTTTTTAATCTTTACTAAGATAATAGTAATATATGTATAAAATAAAGTATTGTATATTTTCAGTTAGTCTTTACTGATACAGTAATGCCGGAAGATAATTATTTTGATCCTAGTTTGTAAGTAATTGTAACTGGAAGTTTATGAAGCTACATGTACGTTGTATGACGTTTGTATTAACACCTAATATTTTTTTTTGACGTTCATTGCTAGCTTGTCCTGAAGGAAACTGGGGTGCTCTGTGCGAACAAAGCTGTGAATGTGAAAATGGAGGAAGGTGTGACCCTATGACTGGGGCATGTACATGTAGACCAGGTGCGAAATTGTTCTACTTTTTGGCAGCAGGGATTGTCACAACTTCACATACAATCGTGTCCTGTCATTAATTACATAAAAACACAATACAATCAAAGGACTGGGTTTTCAGTGAATTTTGCAACTTTTAAAATTTATATATTTTTATGGACCAGCTGTGCTTGAAGTGATGGGGCGGGGGAGGGAGCGGGATGGTTTGTGAGATGTTTGAAGCTGAGTACTATATTTCTTGTTTTTCTTGTGTATTCTTTATTTATTATTATGAAAGTAACTAAAATGTAAAAATTAGAAATTGATGTTAGATGAGGTTAGATTAGGTAAGTTATTGAAAAAATAAAAATTCTTCACGGAGTATACTCATAAGCAGCTCGTACTTTACGTAATTCAGTCTGGTGACATAAGCTGCATGTTTGCTGAGTGAGTTACAACTTGTGTGGTGGGATTATTAGTTATATGAGGTTCAAAACGCAATAAAACAATAAAATTAAGTATAAACAGATGTATACTGTTAGAACTTGTAGTATGGATACTCTGAGGTTATTAACTTCGTCACACTGACCGAGCCCATAGCGAGAGGGTTAATTCCCTCTACCCCAACTGTGTTCTTTATCTCATTCCTGCCTTGCTCTTACAGTTTAAGAAAAAAGAATAATTTTTTTTTAATTAAAAAAAAATGTATTGAATATTTATTTCATTTTCTATTGAACAATTCCCTTCTGAGCCACTCACTAAAAGCTAGCTGGATGGCTTTGGATCATTCTGAAAAGAAGTGGGATGGGAACTGCTCGTTTACCATAAAGTATACCATGGAAAATTTATGAAAATTGTTTTAAAAATACAGTATGCAACTTCAACTGCTAGCAGTAATTTTGAAGACTTCTTTACAATGATATAAAAAAAAATGTAATCTCAGATTTTAACTGTCAATTTTAATTTTTTTTTAAATGTTCAAAAGTTTATAACCATATGTTTGATAACTTCTGATGGAGATTTTAGTTTTATTTTAATTTTGTACAACACTAAATCGAAAATTATTTTTCTTTTCTTCTGTATATTTCTAACACCAAACTTTTCTAATTGATTTGGGATTAGTGAATAAAATAATGTACAGATTGATTTTATATGAAAAATCATTAATAATTGTGTAGATATATATATTCTTTTTTTACTGGTAATAAATAAATAGATTACATTTTGCAGCCTTTTCTAAAACCTAATAAAGTTGTCTGGAAAAATTTCTGGTAATAGTTTAGTGTTCTGAAGTTTATTTCTTAAAGTAACAATAACTTTGATAAATTGTTTAAGCAGAGTATTCGTGATGAAACTAAGTTTAATTTACGGCAACTGCCTGTTGTAGAAAAACACGTGTGGAGGACGACATTTCGAAAGTCTTCTGCCCTTTGTTTTCGAAACAACTTTCGAAATGTCGTCCTCCACACATGTGTTTCTACAAAAGGCAGTTGCCAGTCCATTCAACTAAGTTTCAACAATGACTTTCTTGTGAAGTGTCATTTTGTCATGTGAGTATGAAATAGGACGTAGATTCAGATCTTAACCTTGTATATTTTGATGCTGACTGTTACTATTATGATTTGTTAGGAGAATGAAAACAGTTGAGCATTATTTTGGTATTATACATTTATTATTTGCTGTAACTTAAATTATATTTTTTCCTACATTAAGATGTCTGTTTATATTTTTGACCAGTCAGATTTAGTGTATACAGAATTTTGAATGTTGTATTCAACTGTATCCAAACAGTTGTAAGGAAAGTTGCATGACAAGTTCTGTACTTTATTAAAATTGTGTTAATGTTTTTCATTCTTGAAGTAGAACTGTATGTTCTATGTTCTCTAGGATGGCAGGGTCCAAACTGCAATTATCCTTGTTCTGAAGGTTTCTACGGCTATGAATGTAGCCAGGTTTGTAAATGTGAGAACGGAGGTTCCTGTAACCATGTATCAGGGGCATGTTCTTGTCCTCCTGGATATAAGGATGCACTGTAAGTAAGCATTAGGTTTCAGTTTTAGTTTTAAAATTTCTTTCTCCTGAAATATGTGTGAGTATAAAAAATTAATTGTAGGTAAACGGTTTTCAGTTTTGTTTTAAAATTCTTCTCTTGAAGTCCTGAGTGAGTATAAAAATGAATTGTAGGTAAACGGGTTTCAGTTTTGTTTTAAAATTCTTCTCATGAAGTCCTGAGTGAGTTAAAAATGAATTGTAGGTAAACGGGTTTCAGTTTTGTTTTACAATTCTTCTCATGAAGTCCTGAGTGAGTATAAAAATGAATTGTAGGTAAACAGGTTTCAGTTTTGATTTTAAGATTCCTTATTTTAAAGGTAAGAAACAGGTTTTAGATATGATTTTAATTTTATTCACTTCCATCAGCAATGCTTATACGAAAGTGTAATACTTGGTATCAAGATGTGTCTCCATGTGATTTTTATTTTAAAGTCTGAACTATATCAGCGTAGAGTTATGTAAAAACATTACTCTTAGATATAGCAATTTAAATGTTAATTATTTTACCTTTTGAAAAAATTTTAAGTAATAATAATCTTAGTAGCTTTAAAATGTCAAAATGGAGTTCTAGAAAAAAAGAAACTTATATTCCTCCATTACAAGTGTTTTGTATTATAACTTTATGATATTTTAGTCTTAGACCATAAGTTCATAATTAAGTTCAACATGTTTGTGAGATATTTATTTTTGTAACTGAAAAGCACTTTTATACTTGTGAGTACCAGGACATTTTTAAAATCATTGTTTAAAAGCACTTTTATACTTGTGAGTACCAGGACATTTTTAAAATCATTGTTTAAAAGCACTTTTATACTTGTGAATACCAGGACATTTTTAAAAGCACTTTTATACTTGTGAGTACCAGGACATTTTTAAAATCATTGTTTAAAAGCACTTTTATACTTGTGAGTACCAGGACATTTTTAAAAACATTGTTTAAAAGCACTTTTATACTTGTGAGTACCAGGACATTTTTGAAATCATTGTTTAAAAGCACTTTTATACTTGTGAGTACCAGGACATTTTTAAAACTATTGTTGATTTGAAAATATGTTCGCAGTAAGAACAAGGTTGTTATTGTAAGTTGGGCTACTGTCACACTAGGTGTTCTCAAGCTTGCTCTGAAGGTACCCATGGGAATGAGTGTAACAACAAATGTTCCTGTCAGAATGGAGGAATGTGCGATCATGTGACTGGTTTTTGTACCTGTCCCTCTGGATGGATGGTAAGTTTTTTTTTAACTGTTTTCCTGTATTGCATTTTAGAAACTCGAGTATTAGTGGAATAAAAAAATTTCTTAAGATAACATGAAATCCATCAGAATTGTACAAACAATGTACAACTAATTAAGTGTGAGTGTATGGTATTGACATTAGGGCTTATTGTGGGTATTTAGCTTCTATTGTAATCTAAATTAATATCAAAACCTCTTTTAAATAGATAGTAATGATTTTTTTACTTAGTTCTTCATTACCCCTGTATATAATGTAATTAAAACATCATAGTCCATACACCACTTTATATACAATTTTATTTTAACCCATTTTTAGGCATCTTTCTTGGTAAAAGCATTCTTAATGTATTTAAATAAGATTTGTGTGGTTGGTTTTATAGACTCTTTGTAGGTTATTGCTGTTTTTTTTCTGTTTTCCTTACACCCATTCATGTGCTTAAATGTCGTAAATAGGGAGATGTTTGTGCCAATCATTGCCTTGCTGGTTTCTATGGCAACAACTGCACAGAGCAGTGTACTTGCTACAATGGGGCATCTTGTCATCATGTAACGGGGGAGTGTTTATGTGCTCCAGGGTACAGAGGGAAACACTGCCAAGATGAGTGTCCTCTAGGAACATTTGGAGTCAATTGCTCAAAGGTATTTTTTTCTTTGTGCTCCATTTTAAGCATGTTTTATAATATATAAAAGTTGTAACTAGAGTTGTCATCTGTTATGTATTTTACAGGCCATTCCTTATACCACACCGTCCTGTTCTGGTCAAGAATGGAACATTGTTTGTTTTCTTTTTAAGACCTTTGTTTTCAGCTTGACAAAAATGCTGAAAATTATGAAACACCAACAAAAGCTTTCCTTATTTTAGTTGTTCGGGCAGGAGCCATACTTGTGACAGAGGATGTGTATGTTAAACTTGATGACATTTGCAGACTACCCAAGAAAATTCATAACACTTAAAAAAGTATGAAATAATATAAAGATGCAACTTACCAAAGAAAATGGAAAACTATTTTAACAACAAAATTATCTTGATTGTGTGTGTGTCTTTATATCTGCTATATCTTCTTTTTTAATTCTCATTAAAATTGTACGTTAGGACTTTGCAGGCCTGTGTGTATAGTATTTCTTTTCACTAGTAAGTTCTTGCCCTTCTACGTGGTTTTGTAGAATGTGTACCGATGTTATGTAGTAGTATACTGGAAATCTATAAATTCCTTTACCCAAACTTTAACCCTAAGTTTATGTGTACCTTTTTCTGCATACATCACAAAGTTTTACAGAGTTGCATTTTAAATTTGATTAAGCAGCTTACACTTATGTATCTCAATTAAATTAGTATTATAATAGACGTTATATTGTAATGTTTTATTTTATCTATGTTTTAATTCCTTTATTTCAAAAGAAACTTTAAAAAAGACTAAAAAAACCCTTAATCTTTGGTTTTGTTGTCCTAGCTTTTGGTCTCTGTACTTTAAGTAATTATTTTCATATACTAGATATCAATGTCTTGACAGAAACTAGGCTCATTGCTCTGTTTACGCGTCCTTCTTTCAGATTTTCTAGGAAAAGTTCCGAGAAAGGAAAAATAAAACTCTTGGGATCTATTGACAGAAGTCATGTTCACTTTCTGCACATATGATTTCGCACTTAACACTATTTGTATCTGTAGATGTTTATAAATTATAGAAGCAGCTCATTTTAAACTAGCACTTAGCACTGTTTGTCACCTAGAAATATGTTAGTTAAGATTGGTAATTAAATTGTATTTAGGTTTTAGTTTTATATTTAGTTAATTATGTGTTATTTATGTTTTAAGATCCATATTAGGAAGGTTTAATTATTTTAAAAAATAAAACTCAAACTTTGGTTCATAAGGCTTAGTGTAGTATGTGAGTTCAACAGCATTCTGTCGAGGGCTAAAGTATCTCTGCCGATGAACACTAGCATTCTGTTGAGGGCTAAAGTATCTCTGCCGATGAACACTAGCATTCTGTCGAGGGCTAAAGTATCTCTGCCGATGAACACTAGCATTCTGTCGAGGGCTAAAGTATCTCTGCCGATGAACACTAGCATTCTGTTGAGGGCTAAAGTATCTCTGCCGATGAACACTAGCATTCTGTCGAGGGCTAAAGCATCTCTGCCGATGAAACTGTAAGAATGCACGTTGATGTGTGTTGCGATAAATAATAATGCCAAAGGACAGAAAGGAAAATAAAACCCTAAAAATAAACTATATGTGAGAATGTAAAGATTTATTAAGAATATAACCAAACAAAGATATTTTAAGGTTATTAAAAAAAAAAATTAAAAGGTATATATATATAGTTTTTTAGTTCTTAATTTAAAAATTCCATTGCACTATACAGTATGATAATATTCAAAATATTAGGAGTCTGAGTACAAATAACTACAATTCAGAAATAACAAATCTTTAGTTAAAATACTTAATTGAAATAATCTCATTCTTTATGTACAAAATACTTGTAATCTTTCACAAAATCTTACCAATTGTTGTGAAGATATGTTAAGAAAGCTCAGAGTTATCGTGAATATTGTTGAACTGTGTATTATTCTCTATATGAGCAGTAATGAGCTAAGCCCATAAACTTAGAGTTAATGTAATTAGTTCTTTACTTACTGTTAACGGTGGGACATGAAGAACGTCTCTCAGTAATATCATAATTCTCCGTTTGCTTTACGTATAGGTTT